TAAATATTAAGTAAAATTAAAACTAATAAATTAACTTCTACTTATAAAATACGTTATTTGCTACAGACTAAACCATAATTTTTACTAGCCTTCTAATTATGTTTGGTTACAGAGCTATCAAATACAAAATCAGACCCTTCTGCCACATCCTCTCTTTCAGAATTTGTTGATAGTTCTCTCTTACATTTCATTATATATTACCTATAAGCAGTAGAAAGTCAAGGTTTTCATCTATCAAATGATGTATTGTATAACATTGTATTCTGAACAGGAAAGCATCAATTTCACTCACAGTACAAGATTCGTTCCTGTGGGAAAGTTAACAACCAGCTTGAATGAATTTGTAATGGCTCTTGTCACATAGTTAGAAAGCCAAGAAAATTTTGAGAGGTAAGTGAATTTGTGTGCTTTTTGCATGTTATTAGTCTATATTCTTTAGTGCATTATTTAATTAAATAAAAATATTAAGTGTATTACTATCTACAGTATGAAAAATTATGGTTAACTCTCTTCGAAAACCCAAGAGCAAGAAAAAAAGAAGACTGGGTAAGTACTTTATTTCTATTTTAAATATAAATATTTAAATATAAATTATTAAATATAATTATTAGATTATTAAATATAAATATTATAAATATTTCATATTCGTTCTATATTTATTATTATAAAAGTATGTAAAATCTAAACATACAGATCTTTTTAAGTAATTTAAGATTAGATTAGGTAAAATAAGTTATGATAATATAATTAAAATGGTTCACGAGGCATACACAAGAGCAGCTCATGGTTAATGTAATTCGATAGCATAGTATGAGCTGCATGTTCCCTGAGTGATTTACAACTTATAATGCCACAGATAGTAGTTAGACATGGTTCAAAAGGCAATAAAACAATAAAATTTAATTATAAATAGATGTATAATGTTACGAACTTAAAGCTACTTAAGATAAATGAATGTAGTTTCATGTTACAATTTGAAGTCACTCTAGAAAGAAAAAAAAAAGTTAATTTAGGTCTATTTTTTGGTGGTTATGAGGTCAGTCGAATTGATCGACCCTCTTTTGAGATAGGGTAGAGAAATTAACACATAAACTATAAACTTTTACTGAAAAAAAAAAAACGTTTGAAATGCACTTACGAGGTTTTAGGGATTACACAAAGAAAATTTGAGATTTTT